AAGCTGGGGAGCTATGAGCAAGCCCACACCAGCCCGCCGCCTCTCACCGCGGGCAACTCCAGAGTAGTAGAGAGTCCAGCCTCTCTCAAGGAGTAATGTTCCAGTCTGACCCGTCACCCAGGACCTGTTTGCCTTGGGGGACCCTACCAGGGACATATAGCCCCCGACAACATAGCTCCTAGGATCACTCTGGTACTCAAACCCCTCCACCACAATAAGGTGGCGGTTCAAGGAGGGGTTGTTACTTTACATCACTGTTAAAATTGATATATGTATGAGGCTATAAAGAATGCAAGCAAATGTAGAATCAAACCTTTATTGAACTGTCAACTAGGTTGATGTGACTTAAATCAGGAGGTTAAAGTAAAAGTTGATCATTGAGAAGTGAAACAGTAACATTTATAGCAGATTTAAGTATGAATAGTTTTATTTGTACAACAAATATTTTCTTGCGACTGTGAAGGATTTAGGCAGACAATACAAACAATGCAGATGAGAACCATTTATAATGCAAAAACAAAGTACATTAGTCATTTAAATAGTGATTAAAACATGTTGTGAAAGCTGACTACATTTATATAAAATTTGCACACCTTGACATTATCTTGTGACCTTCCCATAGAGTTTCTTCCAAATGTTCGGCATGTAAAGTGGATAAAGTACATTGCAGTGCAGCTGTTTACACATATTCTTGAAACTTGTGAAAGCTGGACAGTGTCCTGTTCAAGTCAACGCTGCCGTCTTTCTGTACATCCTTTTCCTCCATAAGATGAATGTCAGTATAGGGCTCTTCCTCCTTCGATGTACGTTTGCAGTAGCTGTACAGAAGGATGATCCCAGTGGTCAGTAAAATACCAGCAGTGGCCCAGCCAATGAAGAGGGCCGTCCCCAGTTCCCGTTTCTGAGCATCCACCACCAGTGGGTTATAGAAGTTACTGATAACAGTATGGCCCACCCAGCTGACAGGGATGACTGTGGCCACAGAGGACAGCAAAAACAAACTCCCCCCAATGGCCAGGGTGATGTTCTTGGTTTTTATGTTGTCACCACACCAGTTGCTCTTCTGGGTCCCACACACTGTAATGAACAAGGAGGTGAGGACCAGAAATATGGAGATGCACATGAGCCCCCTGGCTGCCTCCAGCTCTGGTGGGAGAATTAGCAATGAGTCATACACCTTGCACTGCAGCCTGATGTTAATCTGTCTGTAGCAGTCCATCCACAAGCCCTCCCACAGTTCCTCCATTACAATGAGATTGGCACCGATGAAGGCAGAGACTCTCCACATGGGCATGGCAGTGGCAGCTATTGTCCCCACCAGGCCAATGAAGCCCAGGACCAGGGCTAAGACCTCCAACTTTGCTCTCATGGTTCAGAAGGAAGTGCAGTCTCATCTCTTCCCTGCCGTCTAATGAATAGAACGTCTAACCAACCTGTTTAAAAGAGCTGTAAATCCACGATGGTTTCAACATGCAATGTGATCATACTGGTTTGTGTTGACTTAACCTATGTTCCGACGAAAATGTACTCTGCAGGTGTCTGCTATGATGAATGTCGGTGAAAAGAGTGACTGCTGCCAAGTGAAAATACTGCACATTCAGTTTCAGTGACTTTCAAGTTTACATCATCTATTTCCTTTATCCAGTCTGTGACCAGATTCATATGAAGTGGCAGTTCAGCTGTATTATAAAGGTGCATTGCAAAATATAAAAGGCATTAAGTCAAACTACAGATGGTATTTTAATGCGTTTCTCACATTGCTGACTTGTGTTGTCTGGAAATATGCCAAAAGAAGGCATTCTGCATGCTTAGATGATTCGAAGCAACAGAATGAATGTTACATAAATGCACAGTATAAGCTTTTACCAAAAAGAACATTTTCAGATCTAACCCCTTTTGTAATGACCAACTTTTGATTAGTAACTGTAATTGATTCCAGTTACATTTATTTTGTAATTTAATTACAATAGCTAGTTACTCCCCAACAGTGGATGTGTTCATTGTGTGTTGTCAACATTAAGGGAATGGTTTTCTAGAAGGGAGATTGTGCTAGATATGAGTCGCATCATTAACTTCAACTGACCTTTTTGTTGTACCTTTCAAATGATTAGGTACAGTATTGTTCAAAATAATAGCAGTACAATGTGACTAACCAGAATAATCCAGGTTTTTAGTATATTTTTCATTGCTACATGGCAAACAAGTTACCAGTAGGTGCAGTAGATTCTCAGAAAACAAACAAGACCCAGCATTCATGATATGCACGCTCTTAAGGCTGTGCAATTGGGCAATTAGTTGAAAGGGGTGTGTTCAAAAAAATAGCAGCGTGGCATTCAATCAGTGAGGTTACAATTTGCCAAAGAACACGTCAACTGGCCTAAAGAGAAATGGAGGAACATTTTGTGGACTGATGAGAGTAAAATTGTTCTTTTTGGGTCCAAGGGCCACAGACAGTTTGTGAGACGACCCCCAAACTCTGAATTCAAGCCACAGTACACAGTGAAGACAGTGAAGCATGGTGGTGCAAGCATCATGATATGGGCATGTTTCTCCTACTATGGTGTTGGGCCTATTTATCGCATACCAGGGATCATGGATCAGTTTGCATATGTCAAAATACTTGAAGAGGTCATGTTGCCTTATGCCGAAGAGGACATGCCCTTGAAATGGTTGTTTCAACAAGACAATGACCCCAAACACACTAGTAAACGAGCAAAGTCTTGGTTCCAAACCAACAAAATTAATGTTATGGAGTGGCCAGCCCAATCCCCGGACCTTAATCCAATCGAGAACTTGTGGGGTGATATCAAAAATGCTGTTTCTGAAGCAAAACCAAGAAATGTAAATGAATTGTGGAATGTTGTTAAAGAATCATGGAGTGTAATAACAGCTGAAAGGTGCCACAAGTTGGTTGACTCCATGCCACACAGATGTGAAGCAGTTATAAAAAACTGTGGTCATACAACTAAATATTAGTTTAGTGATTCACAGGATTGCTAAATCCTAGAAACAAAAACGTTTGTACAAAATAGTTTTGTGTTTGTACAGTCAAAGGCAGACACTGCTATTTTTTTGAACACACCCCTTTCAACTAATTGCCCAATTGCACAGCCTTAAGAGCGTGCATATCATGAATGCTGGGTCTTGTTTGCTTTCTGAGAATCTACTGCACCCACTGGTAACTTGTTTGCCATGTAGCAATAAAAATATACTAAAAACCTGGATTATTCTGGTTAGTCACATTGTACTGCTATTATTTTGAACAATACTGTAACTGTTAAGTGCTTCTTTAAGTGTCTATAACCTTAAGTGCTGTTGTTAAATCTGTGTTTTTGCAGCAAAGACTGTTCACACAGTGGGATGAAGTGGCTCAAAAATGAATGTGTACAGACTTGCATCTGTGACCTCCATACTACCAGCTTCATTGTTTACATCTGTGAACTGTGTGCTGCCTGTGACATTTTGAGTCTGATCTTGGCCAAGTGGATAATGTGAACAGCCACAGAATACAAATCAGATATAGAAAAGAATCGGAATTAAGTGCTAAGGCTTGCAGTGTGAACGTAGTGTTGCAGAGTTAAACATTTCCTCTCTTCCAGTGATTTGGAGATTGCCATCCATGCTTTGATTAGATTATTGAAGCACTTTGGATTCTGGGGACAACAAATCTCCACTTATGAAGCTTCAATTGGTGCAAAAATGCTGCTGCATGTCTCTTGTCAGGCACTTGCAAATTTGACCATTTATCTCCTGTTCTCTCCTCTCTTCACTGGTTACCAGTTAACTTAGGATCAAAGTAAACTGAATCCCAATTTACATTTAAAGTTTTAAATGGTAAGGCCCTTTAATAGCTCACTGATCTTTGCAATGTCATAGGCCTCTGAGAGCTCTTAGATAAGCTAGCAGTTTATTCTTGGAAGTTCCCTGTTTTAAACAATGTCAACGGGGAGATCGCGCTTTCTCGATAACAGCCCCTGAGACTCTGGAACTCTCTACCCATAAATCTTAGATCTTTCTCAGACCTGACAGTTTAAATCTTCATGAAAAACATTTGTTTGCTCTGACCTATGATTCTTAGTGGAGTTTACTCATTTTGTCAGTCTCTATCTTTTTTTAAACTTTTGTTTTATGCATTCTCTACTTTTATGTCTGTGAAGCACTTTGGTCATCTTATTGTTTTAAAGTGCTTTATAAATAAATTTTGACGTGACTAAATATTCTATAAATGTGACTGGGGGACATGCCCTGATTTCACAGTGGGAGGAAATGTTCCAGAACAATGGGAGATTTCACAGTAGTTAAGAAGAGCCACTCCTTTATTCAGACATCAGTCAGTGAAAGGTGACACACTGTTTGGGTCACATTGTTTCTGAGAAGCAGGAGAGATAGAAAAGGAAAGCAAGAGTTGGAGCGGTCTAAAGCAGGGGAGGTCATAAGACCGGAGCAGAAACTGGAAAACCTGCTGATCAGGTTTGCTGAGTGAAACTATCATCACGTCCTCCTGTTTTACATGTAAACAAATACTTTCATGCACTAACGCATAGCTATGAACTCAAGTCTACCAAACCTGTACTGTGAAGTCATTTCTACAGATAATTGAGCTGCTAGTGTTGCAGGATTGGATTTTGATGTGAGATGTATGTGATTGAAAAATGGGTGGTCAGATTAAAATTAAATACTGGATACACAGTAAGGTGTATGTTGGTGTTGTGTAGTGGCAGAGCATGTAATGTCCGACAGGCTATGTCTGCCACCTGCTGTATGTAAATATGACTACACATTCCTGGGCTACAGTAAGACTAAATATTTACAAAATGTTAAATCAAAAAGAAATGTAATTGTATTCTCGTTTTCTTCTCCTGCCTATTCCTTCTAAGTCAGTGCTCATTTTAGATTTAAGATATTCTGTTTAGACAAGTAGAGAATCCCACAGACTACGTTTGTGCCGCTTTGTCTCTGGTAGGATGAGTTTATCAAACCAGGGGCATTAGCAGAGCAACCCTGTCCCATCTCAGGCCTGCGTCATTCAGCACTGCTGCAGATACTGTTGTTGTAAATCTGCAGTGCGATGAAGTGATCTTTCCCTTTGCTCTGAAGGAGCACCAGAGCTGAGGGCGGTGATTGACAGGAGTGAGAGCAGCACTGGTGGGCCTGTGTGACAGGATCTCCGCAGAGCTCAGACACACTGAAGGGGAGATTAAGGCTTTGAGAGCCATTATTATGTCTAGTGTGTGTAGCCATTTTATCCTAAGTCAGATTGAAATTGCTCTTTGCCATATCAGGTGGATGAAGGGATAAGGAAGACGTATCATAGGAAATCATATTCTACAACACCAACCACTAACTGGGGCTCTGGTGGTAGAGTTGTCTAAATGCTAAATGGTCTCATACGTGTATAGCACTCTTCAATGCATTGCAGCACACTCAAAGCACTTTCACTCTATTTCAGCATTCACACTTCCAAACACACACATTCACGCACCGGTGTCATGGCCAGGAGCAGCTGAGGGTTCAGTGTCTTGCTCAAGGACACTTTGACATGTGGACTGGACAAGCCGGGAATCGAACTGCTAATCGTCTTGTTAGAACCTGCTCTAACCATAGAGGTTTGATTCCAGATGTCCTTGAACAAGACACTGAACCCCGAGCTGCTGCCATGCATTGAAGAGCACTATACAAGTATAAGACCATGTACCACTAGTGACAGTACCATATGGCAGGCTGCGTTGTTTTTCCTTGGTACAGTTACTGTATAGTATAGCACTTCTTAGACTCAGGTTTTACTACTAATATGAATGAGGGACATGCATAGGAATTTACAGCAGTAAACAAACAAGACTTCCTGCACCCTTTTAATTAGGAGAGTACCAGGGATGTTTTGTTCTTATTAATTTCTTGGTCCTTTTAACCGTTTTCCTGTTAGGGTTTAGAAAGTAGATAGTGAGTCCCGGTCATTCCGCCAGCTTCTTGCAACAGCTTCTCCCTTCACAATGACCTCAGTCTCATCTTGACAGCCACTTTGTAGGTTTGTGGAGAAAATATCCTTATTATCTTAATCTGTTAATGCTAGCAGAGGGTCTACTTATGACCACTGTTCATCTTTGCTAATGCAATTTTTCTGTTTGGCATCCTGATTTCCACAGTTTCCCTTGTCATTACTTTGTGCTTATCACTGATATTTCGGCTCTCCAATTGAATTTACCAAAGTAAAAGAGGAAAGCACAAGTAAGTCTTCATTAGAATGTGCTTAATATTCTACTGTTGCTTACACAAATGCCCTCTATTATGATCAGAGTGCTAATGTCTGATAGTGGTAACCAATGGATGTCTGGTCATCATTTTCATATTCTGCCCGTTTGTCTCCCTTTTTGATAATTTTACTTTATCTTAATATTTTTCAAGTAGTTCTTGCCTGACCATAATTTTGAGAAGGTTTCTCTTACGTTAAAAGCACATATTTACTACAGACATTCATTTATCCCTTCTATAAGAATAGGGGTTTATCTCCATCATCATTCAGCCATGGCTTCCAAACACATTTAGTGGCTTTTAATGTTGTCTGAAGGTTTTACATGTTTCCCCCCTTTTATTCTACGATCATATTGTGAAACAGGAGAGCACTGATTAGCTGTTCAGTTCTGTGGTTTGCACTGAGCACATTGGGCTTTTGTGTTTTTCTTCACATCACAGAATTATTTTGCAGGGATGATGTCTGCAGAGGGGCAGGGAATGAAGCTGCTGTGTAAAACCAGTAACTCACCACAGATATGGGCTTTGAATTATAAGTAGGAAACAACTGTATTTATTATGATATCAATACATTTTTTATATATACACAGTAATAAAAATGCAGTCTTAGTAGCACAATGACTGTTTACAAGTGACTTCTTTCACTCTTCAGGTGTACTGCAAGTCTTTCCTCTTGATTGCTTGAGCAAATTTGGACTTTCTTTGTGACAAAATGATTACTTATGTTTTGCTAACAAATTAATTTACATATAAATAAATAAACATTGTAATCCATAATTGGTGAACAATCTTTTGGAACACACGGGACCCTCTTACAGTAGCTGATGTGCAACAGAGTGTGCACATGAAGTGTTAAGGATGTATGAAATGTGTTCTTTGAATGACAATACTGAGGAGCAAAAAGGAACAATTCAACGAAAATGGTTTCACAGTAAACAAACAGACATGTGAAACAGCAAATTCAAGTAAAACAGGATTATGTTAAATTAAAACAAATTAAAATCCCCCAGCCTTGTGGAATGGGAGCTATTACATAATTCTGCTCTTAAATGTAACAAGAGAACAAACAAAATTATTTTCCAGACTAAAAAGATAGATTCGAGCCTTTGAAACAAGAAAAGATAATATACATAATCAGGAAATCTGTTCCTAAAACATGTCAGTGTATTGTCAAGTACAGTAAACTATGCAAGACAAGACTGTCTGTTGCAATTATTTATTCTATTTCTTTAAGGACAAATAAGATACAGCCCTTAACTATGACAATATCTCTGAGTCACACAAACAAAACTACTATCAGTGTTCTCACAATACCCAAATTTGGCAACAGCAGGCAGGACTATAGAACGCTGCCCAAATGTGCAAACCATGCTAATTGAAGCAAGTGATTAGATTCCATGATTGTACTATTAGTTCATCTCTCAAAGCCTATGCTTGAATTCTGTGTAACAGCATTTGAGTTGGGATAATGCTCCCTCATTCTGGATTCCTGTATTGCTTCACTGATGAACTTACCTGTACAAAAAGCATTCAGCAAAAGTAAGGTAAGGAAGGATACATCTTCTACTAGCTGTGCGATATACGTCAATGCTCATGCATTGTTAGTGAAGACTGATGACTAGTCTTTATGGAGCGCCCATGAAAATCTGTCGCTGCATGTCCTCTTCAGCTTTTATGTCCCACAGTGTGGGGGTGAACTTGATTTCTCCCTGCGTACCCAAATCTCATCCTGCTCTGGTGGCTTCTGATCCTCCATGTCGTCACTGATCATGGTGCTCTGTTTCTCTGTGTTGGACATCTTCTCATCACTGACCGTTGGGGACTTGAGGCTTTCGCTTTCTTCCGTTTCTTCACCCTCCAAGGACAAAGCCATGATCGGGTTCTCCAGGTCGGCCTCTGTGGATGGCGCTCTGGGTGTCTGGCAGAACTCATCTTCATCACTCAGGATGTCTGTCTCCTTCACCTCTTCCTGGTCTTCATATTCTTCTAGGTCGAACTGTTCCTCCACCCAGCGATCTGTGTCACCTGCCAACTCAGGCTCCTGTTTGTTCTCCTGCTGGAGCTGATTTGAGTCAGGTTCCTGTGGCGAAGCAAGGTCTTGTTCAGGCTCGCCGTCAAAAACGATGTCAGTGTCAATTGTGAAGCGGTTGCGCACAAGCTTCCTCCTGCCCAGAGTCCTGGTTGGGGCAGATGCTGCAAAAACACACAACAGTGTGGACAAGTGGCATTTTACAATATCCTGCTTGTATTATTCTTAATGACATTTACAGATTATGAATTGTAGTCTTAAATATGAAATTTACTTAGATATTTTTTTGAAGTTTGTTTTTGACTGTTTTGCAACAAAGTGACAATAGGCCTGTTTACACAGAGATCTGAGCAAACTGCCGCTCCTTTGTTTTACACGGCTGCTGCTAGAGGCGTGGTGTTTATGACGTCTTGACGGTCTCTGTACTTCATGGCCAATAAAACAATTGGGCTGTATTTGATATTGTTTGATATATTCACAAAAGGAAATCAGGACTGACAGTAGGCCTACTATGTGCATCCAATTTCAGGTCTGTGTGTCTGAGGCTGCTGTTGCAACACACACACACACACACAGACACACACACACACACAGACAGACGCATGTATTTTGGCTGCATTCACTTGAAATCCTTCCCACGAGGTTGTGCAGAGGCGTGGCTGTTTATTCCTGCTTTGTTTTGTGATTTCATTCATTTATTTTTTTTTTTTTTGTAGTTTTAATTCTCAGATTCACACTGTAGCTGTCCCTCCCCTCGCTCGCTCGCTCACTCACTTTGTCCCTCTCTCCCTCGCTCGCTCACTCTGTGTCCCTCTCTCTGTCCCTCTCTCTGTCTCCCCCGTCCCTCTCTCTGTCTCTACTTTTACTAGACCTCTTGTATAGAATAGTGAGACCTAAAGCTCAATGCAAACCATCCTGTGTCAGGTAAGAACAATTTCCTAATTGGGACATTTGGAGCTGTACGGTGTGGCATTCACCTGCTCTGTTTATGACGGGACGGGCTCCCTTCAGGGCACAGAGGCGCTGTCCTCCAAAGGGCACATACTGCTGGTTGAGGGGTAAACTCTCTGTTTTCAGGAGCTGCCGGCGGTGCTTCTCTCTCAAAATGGAATGGACCGTCTTCAGAAAGTCTTTCCTACTCTCTGGAGAGCTGAGAGAGATAGACAGGCACTTTATCAGTTTGTCACTCTGTAGATGACAGCAGGACTGTGTTAGTGGCACACAAGCTAAATTCTGCAACCTCCATTAGAAGAGATCCTCACCTACAGCACAGCTGAAATGTCCTCTCTGGCCTTCCCTCCGACTCAGATTTTGTGTGGACCATCTCACACGCAGCAGAGCTCTCGCCATCTGAAGGACAAATTAAAACTTGTGTGATCTCAAGTGTGGAGAATTCTGGAAGGATTTTCTGAAGTCATTCTTGGATTTGGGAGAATACAACATTAGTATTTTAATCCACCATTTCATTTGGGTCACTTACCTGCATTGGCCAAGGATCTGACTTGAAGGGCATCAGTTGGGATCATGTGGCGGAATCGGAATGGGTCTTTTTCATCTGAAGATACAGAACCTCGGGAGGAGCCACCCTACAATAAAAGAAATCATCCTTATAGAATTATGCTTGTAGCCTGAGATGCACCTAGACCTGTTCAGCTTTATGGCTACTTTTACAAGTGACCCATTAGAGGGCCAGTTCTCTGAATTTACAATGCTGGAGCAAAATATATTCTAAATATATTTTGGTGTTGATGATGTTTTCTTGCACTTATGTAAACGTACCATTTTCTTTTTCTGTTTGGACCCGTCCTTACATACAAAGACCACTGCTGTTTTGAACACTAAAAGGCAATGAAGAAATAAAACCATCAGTTATCATTTAAAAGCTTCACAAATTTTCAAATCAAATGTGTAATCACTGGTCTTATGTTAACGGGTTGGGTCCGATACTGAGCTTTGCAGTTGCAGTTTTTCACAATTGGACCCGTGCAGGACTCTGGCTCAGTCACCACATTGTGTCCCAGTTTTGACATACCAAATGTGGCCATCTGAGGCTCTTTTTTCCATTTTCCTAAGGAGGCAGGGGGATTGATCCAGGTCACACTGGTGTGGAGCAGCAGATCACCCATGGACAGATCAGCAACCTAGCCAAAGCAACAAAATACCAGTCACACCACATGTACACTTTAGTTGACAGAACTGAGCCAAGCCAGTTTTGTCCAGTGTACCTCTTTCTTTTCACCACTTTGCTCAGTGATGAGCTGATCAAACACTGCTCCAAACTCCTCATGGATCTTCTGCATCTCATTAATGTGGCTGGCAACTTTGTTCATGGCTTTCATGGCAACTAAAAACAGAAAGGTGAAAGTTGCATTGTTGTGACCATATATTCACCCAGGTTTCCCCTGTCAAAATGATTCTTCTCAATCAGCCATGTGAACTGGGACTTACCATCCAAGTGGTAGTGCTCCTCACTGTCTGGGTCTGTGAGCGAGTACAGCTCCTTTAGCAAGAGGGGATACTTCAGCACCCTCTGGATGGGTTTAATCAAGTATGATTCCAGGGTGGAAGAGTGCTGCTGCTTGGGGTTGCGCTCATCCAGGAAGGCCTTGAAATCAGAGTCCGTTTTGGCTGGAATGACAAATAAAGAACACTTACTGTACCTTGTCCACACATCTCATCTTAATTTGTTTGTATGCATGGATGATTCTACTTATTACTACTCAAGTAGTTGTGTTTGTGGTCATATCTCACAGTAAATGTTTGTGGTCATTTCAAAATTGACCTAAATTGATTGGCCTAAACATGGTGATTTTGCACAAACTCAGACCCAGTTAGTGTTTGTTTTACTTGGTCATGCATTAGAAATAAACCTACAGTTGAGTCAAAAATATTGACCTGTTTAATGCTTTTTTGTAGATGAGTCATTTTATGTAAGAGCAGGGAATAACAAGTGGGCAGAAAAAAAATCTGTTTAGTGCTCTAAAACATCTTTACTAAAATAACACCTCACCAATTTGTTATGGCAAATACATAGTTGACTGATTTAATGTAAATGCAACAAACAAAGCCATCCACTTGAGTATTGAAGGGAGTGGGTGTACTAGCTAGAGAACAGACTGTTCAACACGCCTCATTATATATATCATACAATGTCAGAGCTTTTTAGCCTGGGAGTCACCAGCTTGAAGGTATGCAGAGGTCAAATGGACAACTGTCTGGCTGACAACTCCGTAGAGCATATTTATGGAACCTTGCGGGATATGGCAGATGGTTGGATGAATTCATCCACTCCTTTGAGCCAAGGGGGATGTCCAGAGAACATTTACTCACCTTTTACGAGAACCTTAGGGACTTTGGTGTGGCTGGCGCAGAAAGCACTGTAGATTTTAAAGCGGTCCGCATAGTAGAGGAACGAGCCTCCCAGAGAAAAAAGAATTTTCTGTGAAAAGGAGAAGAGAGGTTACCCAACAAATAGAGTTGATGGGTATTTTTGATGTTGTTTCACAGAGAGAGCATATACCTTAAACTGGTCAACTCTTTCCAGCTTCTCCAGATCTGGAACCAGTCTGGTGCCATCTTCCAGGGTTTTGAGAAACTCAACTTGGAACTCCACCATTTCTGGCAAGTTCCCAAACAGCACATCCAGCTGGAGCAAAAAGGGCACGAGTCAAAACTAAACTCACTTTCTTTCAATGTTCTGTAATATTTCTCTCTCTATGTGGTACATCCAGTACAAGTCCTCAGCCTCTCGGCATGGAAATACTCAAAATATAATGCAACCCAATACGGTTTCATTATTGCAAGTGCATGTAAAACATCTCTTTACTTTGCAAACCTCCCCCTCTCTCTCATCATCCATCCCTCTTGTCCTCGTACACAGCTACTCTTCACGATTATGTAACCCACTTTTTTTAGAACATCTCTGTGCTGGCGTTTACAAGCCAACTACCCCTCAAAGGCTCACGGGGAACATTTGACATACCTCATCCTGAGTGAGGAAGGTCTCTTTCTGCAGTGGGGTTAAATATCTCCCAATGAGGCAATTGAGATCCTGCAAGAAAAGAGTGAATTGTGTTTGATTCAGGGCTGCCCAAGTAAATGCATGACAAATACACAAAACAGTGATTAAAGGACAGAAATAGTCCAAAAAAAGAGACCTCAAAATCAAACACGGGAACTGGTGAATGCCTTTTTGCATGCATTTCAAAGGGAAGGAAGCTATACTGAAAACTAATTAATTAAATGTTAGGGGCTAGTTTGCTGGAGTGTAGCTAACTCAAAAAGTAGGGAAATGGACTTTTTAAATTCTCTAGAGGAGGATGGATGTATTTCTCATCGTTTGTGTTGTCAATTTAATAATAATAATAATCTCATTAACCTCCCATTAACTAATTAACTTTCTAGTTAGTGGTCCATAAAGAAGAGCCTAAAATACATTCAGCTTGTAAATATATAAATGCAGTTAATTGTTTTTAGATAGCAAGATGTTACACAGAATATATGCAATATAAACTGACTAATTCTGTAGTACCTTAATCACAGAAACACTAGGAAATATATGGTAAAAATCCAAAGAGACCAAATCACCTGTGCCCAGATTGATTAAAAATACATATTAAGAACTATGAAAGGTTTGGTCTCTTGGTACCTTGAGTGATATATATATATATATATATATATATTGGTACGCTTACTACAGTACCTTCACTGAGGATACTGTAACTTCACCACTTTCACTAAACGTACTGTCTGCAGTACTTTCACTGAAGGTACTATTACTACAGTACACACAACATATTTGACCAACCTTGTAGCATTGAGGATTGTAGATGGTTACTACATAATTAATGTCCCTCATTTATTGAACTGCCCCACACACATCTATTTGATGTTGACAAACTGCAAAATCCACCAAAATGAAACTGTCCCCTTCTGAAGGTTGTATAACACACTAGCAGTCATGTATCATGCAATTTCTCGTGGTAACGAAGTGCAGTACTGTGCGTTATAGGCTACCATTAGTTTTACTGCTTTACATAACATTGCTAAAACAATAAATCTAATGGTGGCCTAAGGCTTTTGACAATACAACATAACAGTTTCTATAGCCTTGACATCATTCCATTATATGCCCTCTCCAACCCAGTTATTCCGCTGGGCAGAAAAAGAATTAGGTAATATCCTGGCAAGGACACAGCTGTGTCCCCCTTGTATCTCCGGGGACAGACATAAATATGAATTGCTCATGTGGAATAAGTGATGCCCAGGGCTAAAACAACCCAAAGGCAGACAGAAACACAGATCGAGGGACAGGAGGAACATGCACGCTCACAAAGATGAGTGGTACCGACTTTGACATAGGTTCGTTCGGTCTCCACGAGTTCACAGATGACTTTGCGCAGCTTGTCAGCATCGGAGAGCTGTCGGGGAGTCGCAGGAGGTGGGAAGGGTGAGTCCGGACTAGATGAAGAGGATACACACTCCGAGGGATTCATGTCATGGAGACTGCGGCAGAAAGAAGCAACCTGCTCTGTACTCTGCAAAAAAAAAGGAGAGGAGCAGAAAAGAAAAACATGAATAAATTATGTAACTTCAACCTGAAGTTCTACAAGGAAATATCCAAATATCGATCCAACTGCACAGAAGTAGCACCTCAGCTATTACGTTGCAGGTGTCACTTTCCACCTACTGATATACAGATTCCTGACTGCGCAGGGAACAAGCCTGCAGAAAAAGGCAGCACTTAAAAACATTTGCACTAATTTGGTCTATTTTCAGTCTGTCATGACAATGACTCTCCACCTCCCTCTCCTTCACTCACATCCCTCTTTTCACTGATATTTTCCTCCTCCTGATGGATCAGTAGTATAATAATTAATCTCTTTGACAGAATCAAAATATACATACCAGCTTGTTTGTCCACATAGAGTATAGGTTGCTGTGGAGACCAGCACTGATGTTCATTAGACTGTCATTTTGGACAAAAATAGACCCCACTCAGCAGCAGCCTCCATGGCTGAACTAATACTTTGCTCACGACAGGCTACGGCCTCACTAACGCAACCAACAAAAAGGTAATTTCTCTTAACATCAGTGCAAACAAAGGAGATAGGAAAAAAAAAAACATTTTATGAAGAAAGAATTTAATAGAACCAACACTTTATATTTTAAACTAGATAATACATAAAGATGAACAGAGTCATGGGGCGCAAACAGTTATGACCAAATAATAGGAACTACAAGCAGGTACTGGCACCACAGAGTCTGTAACAGAGAGGTGAGAGGTCTCTAGTTGGCAATACAAGGATTTTTATAGCCCAGCAATGTATCTGTCACACCTACAAGCTCCTCTGAAAAACAATATCAGCCCCACACAGCTGCAGAAGGAACACCGTCATGCGTCTTAATTAAGACCTGAGATACTGGTCTAACCACATGATAGATTTTATTTTTCTATCATCGACTAAATTATGAAAAAAGTTAAGCAAAATGCGTAAAGAACGAGGGAACAACGTGTTATCCAGTGACACTCAGATCTTCACATGCAGCTTTGCAAATGACAGTTGTTATCAGCATTGTTATCTAATCAGACACATTCATATGTGAGGCAGTCTTGACAATGTTCCCTAAATAATCAAGCACCCAGAACAGCAGCTGGAAAGTGCTACAGTGTCTGGAAATTAAAGTTGTAAAATGCATTTTACAGCAATGTACTGGTGCTTTTTTTTTTATAGTTACCTCTGTTGGGGAAGAGCTTGAATTTTGTCACTTCTGATTAAGTCATGTAATTATTTTCAAAAGTGTTTGGATCTAGAGAATGGTTTTAACTAGTGAAAATGCCCAAAACAACCCTTGTTAATTTACTGCTAATGGCGTGTGGGACGTAGTATAATGTGTACACCAGAAAAAGTCAGCATTAAAGATCCTGTCAGTTGAGATCTGCTCAAGACAATACGTCTGTATTCATTCTTGCGGTACTTTACTGGTGTGCGCTGTATATTCAACCAAATGCAGGTTCAACTGTAGTATGAAAGCGAAGTTAGATAAACAATCACACATCAGGTTTGGAACCCAGAGAAAGAAAAATGTCATGCACAGAAAAAACTGGGAGGAAAGATCTGCAAATCACATTTCTTCTGCCCATTTAATCAGCTTAGTTCACCCAGTTCGACTGAGCCCAATGAGACAGTCACAGTCCAGTCATAGTCACAATCAGGCCAATTAACACCATGACAGCTTCAAGCCCATGGACAGTCATGTTATGGCAAAGAGAAGAGAAAGAACAGGAGGGGGCAGGGGGATGAAAGCTTTTAATATCTCATGAAAAGAACAATGTGTGGATAACAGAGGAAAATGCTGTGAGATACCAGAGATGAGAATTTTACCTAACAAATGAAATGCAGATTAAAAACAGTTTCAAAGCACAAAATCACTGATGATGGCAAGAGACTGAATGTCTGCCCCCTGAAACTGGTATAAGCCTGAGATCACAGCTAGAGGTGACAGAGAGAACTCTGCAACAGCCAAGAGTGTCACTGTAACAGCAGTCAGTGTAGTTTTTGCCAAATCATCTGGGGTCTGACCTGCAGAGACCCTGCTCCTACATGCATGGTTTTATTTTGGCATCTTGTGGAGCACTCCAGTGATTATGGGGTAATTCTGCAACACAACGGTGACTCACAGCTTCCCGTTTGCTGTCGGTAGCAGCACAAAGGAGGTGTCAAACAAACACAGTCAAGGAAAGGTGTTTTACTCACTGGAATAAAACAACAGAAGATCATCTATCCCAGCAGCATCAAGAACAAGTCAGGTAAACAAAAGGGATACAAGACAGCAATCTCACCAGATGAAGCATGTCATAGATGGAGTCAGAGGAGCGCTTCCTGTGCTTGCTCCATTTCAGGACGGACATAGCAGGGTGCAGGTGGACAGTCAGCGCCAAAGTGCCAGTGAGAAACAGACTCCAGGCTTTGGAAAGAGTCAAGTCTACACTGCTCCTCTCCTACACATTTTTCAGCCCTTTTGTTGTACTTCTGTTCTTTAAAAAAAAGAAGGTGCTGTGGTGCTTGTGATGAAGAATAAGCGAAGCTGCTCTGCCACCTCCTCTCCGCCCACCAGTGCTTACAGCCTTCCAACTCCCCTTCTTTTCGCTTTCAGAGTCTGCTGTAGTTATGTCACTGATACCGTGCCGTTTTCTCTCCCTCTCTCTCTCTCTCTCTCTCTCTACAGGCTGGGTAAACACAGGCACACAGTGTGAGTGTGAAGAGCAGGCCAACTCCAGTAGCACTGTAAATGAGTCTTGATAATCCTACAGGCCTGGGAAAACGCAAAGGAGCAAGAGGGAAGGAGTCTCCTCTTCAAGGCTGCCGTGGAGCAGGACTGGCTGCGGGGAGCCACACCACAGTAGAATATAATGCAGAATTTCAGGAAAAGGGGGAGAATGTTTGGAGGGGGTAGTAAAGAAGGGTGAAAATAGGAACAACTCCTGTGGGAGTTTTTGCAGGAAGAAAATGGAGAGTGCAAATTGTTCCAACATGACAAAATATATTTAATAGAAAGGGGAAAAAAAAAAAAAGGACTGAGTTGCTTTGAGCTCAGGAGATGCACTTTTTCAGATCACTCACAGAAAAATACCCCTACAGGTACTATATTATCACACGTCTGTGTTCTCCATCCCTGAGCAGATTCCAGGACTTTTACACATGAACTCCATTGTATGCCTGCAGCAGCACACACTGGGAGACAGTCCATGTCAGACACATTCTCACCCGTTGGAAATGCTCAGTTTGGTTTATGCGTGGTTGACACACCTGTGTGAAGCGTACAGGGTGCGCAACATGACGTGATCACATAGCCAATTGGTCTCATGATTCTGCTCTTAATGTCAAAAGTTCCCGAAACTCATTTTCACTGCAGTTAGATATCCTCATTTCATATTTCACCATCAGATGTTTGTTTACTTCCAGTTTCAAGTCAGTCACATAATAGAATGTTACCAACGTTCCCACCAGCTCCGTGTGAATACTCTAAACTATACGCTGCTCACTTGGACCTTATGCAGACTTTGTACTAGGGAGCTGGCAGAGTATAGTCCAGGTGGACATTTGCCTTCTCAAATACAGCTCACCTGGGTAAAGTCTAGATAATTTCAGGGTTCCAGTGCATGTCTGAAAGGGGCTTTACTTGACAAGTTGCTTGACTTTCTTTTCTGGTGTGTCCTCTTCCTTACAGTAATTATCTACTGTTCCCAGTTTGCTTTTTATTCAGCAGAGTTGTGAACTGTACAAATGTCTCATGGCTGCAGTGCATGCTTAAGCCTACAGCCAGTGGAGAAATTGGCATCACTACCTTATCTATGAAGAAGTTTTCACTGTGAAAATCAGTTCCAGAGTCTGGCACTAACAACTAAACAATGTGACCAGCTTAAACATCCCAGAACAAATAAAAGAGCCCATATTAAAATTGCTTTTTTTTAACCATACAGAAGTCTTGTGATGAAATTTTCCCCCTTAGTGCAATGTCAGAGAAGTGCGTCTCTGTTCCAAATCACATGAAACTAAACATTTCTGTAGAAGGCCAATTGAGTACCAGACTTACTCTAAAATTAAGAACCATCTTGGAAAACTGCCACGACATCCTTATTTGTGGAAACAAAACTCAGTCTGTTGAAGTTCTTACTGACTGTGGAAACACCAAACGGCCACCAAATAGTGGATCAGCTGCCAAACACTGTCAAGAGAGTTGGCGGTGCAAATCCAGACGTCCTTACCTTATTTCAGATATAAAGTCATAAATCTTCACTCATCTCTCAACTTTAAAGTTGTTACTGATTCATCAAATACTTTCAATACTATGAAAAGACAACAGATGTCTGCGGCTTAGTCGGTTTATCTTCAAACAACTAGCATCAAACAGAAGGGATGTCACCAGATTTAGCAAAAATGGAAACAGGCACAATTTACCAGGATAAAACACCACCTAAACAAGCACTGTAATATAATGATTTGATTTGATTTATTCTTTCAAGCATGTAAAGACAGTTGATATGTCAACACATAATTTTACACATATCCAACAAATGCTAATCCAATATCAATTTGCTTATACCTAGTACATGCTTGAATGGAGTAGGAAGAAGTCAGACTTATCCAGTCCTACCCCATGACATCATCTTACCATCATTGGTTTGCAA